AGAGTTCCTGCTCATACAAAATCATAAAAAAAAAAAAAGTAAAATATCACATTGATTTTTTTTTTTTGGAGGTGTAGTGAAGAAGATACTTTAGGGGAGAGTCTAGAGTATGTTATGATAGAGAAGCATAGGCTGATAAATTATCTAATGAACAATTGTCAAATGAGCAATCAATATTTTCCTCATTTAGAAAATGAGCAAATAGTTAGTTGCTCATTTGTTAAATAAGCAAATATTTAGTTGCTTATTTGTCAGATGAACAAATACTTAGTTGCTAATTTAACAAATGAACAAAAACATAAATGCTCATTTGTCAAATGAGCAAATAATTAGTTACTCATTTGTAAAATAAGCAAACATTAATTTAATCATTTGGGAAATGAACAATCAGTTTTTTGCTCATTTAGCAAATAAGCAAATAGTTAGTTACTCATTTGTCAAATGAGCAAACATTTATTTAATAATTCATTAAATTAGCAAGCATTTAATAAGAAAACACGTACATTATCCTTTCCAAAGGTACATCCGTATAATATTTAGCATTGGTAGAATCAATAGTAACTGAAGAATCCATAACACTGAACAATTCTACAATTATAAAATAAAAAAATAAAAAAAAACCGAAAAAAAAAATGTAAGCTAACTAAAACAAAGGAAAAATCAAATTAAGAAGCAAATTCGTAAGAGAAACAAAGAGGGGGAAGGGGGGATTCACCACATTTCTAATAAGAAGTAGAGGATCCTAAATGTGAGAAAATAGTGTCCTACCAACCAAGAGAAAGTAAGAAGATTAAATAGTCCATATAAACTATCAGAAGGTTCAATTCACAGCCCACATAACTTGGTTGGAGACTATTACCAACAGCCTCCTGACCAGTATCAGTATATCACAAGATTCTAGGACATGATAGCAGTCCCTGTTTTCTCAAACAAGCAGCCTGAAAAATATGCATGTGTTTATAAACCATAAACAGATCATCAATTTTAACCAAATACCAGCAGAGATATGTATCAATCCCAATTCTAACATGATCCAGTTCACCAAAATGTTCTAAAGCAAGAATACATGTTAAAATCCATATGAAACTACAAATATCTAAATTTTGAACCATCTTTCCGACGGCAAAGTGGCAATAAGGTTTTCAGCAAAGTAGTAAACCAGTGAACGCAATCCCAATAAGCTGTCTCCAGCCAGTAAGAGCTAACACTAAAGCGACTAATACTAAAAGCACACAAGCTAAATATCCTCAAGGTTTGGTTTTAAACAACTTCCACAGAAAATTAGGAGAAAGGCTAGTTCAAGAGTGTAGGCCCAAGAAAAGCATCTTGAAGAACATTTTCATTTGCAGAATCCATAACAATTACTTCTAGGTTTCCAAAAAAAACAAAGAAAATGTAAGATAATTACTAATGAAGCAAAATTAAAACTAAAATCAACTAATAATTACTCAAATAAAGCTATAATTAAACAAAAAAAAAATAAAACCAGAAAATAAAACATAATTGAGAACTAAAATAAACCGAAAAATCAAATTAAAATACACAAAATAATTAAAATACCTATATTCAAGCTAAAATCAACATAATAGCACAAATTATGAGTGATTTCTAGCTTTCCAAAAAAATGAAAAAAAAACTGGACAATAAACCAAATAAGGCAAAATCAACTTGACAACTACTCAAAAAACAAAAATAAAACTAAAATCAATGAAAAAACAAAGTTAAACATAATCGACACAAATTGATAAACAATGTGAGCTGAAATCAGCGAAAATCAAACGAAAATCAACGATGAATGAAACTGAATGTGACCTAAAATTAATTGAAAAATACGAAAATATAAACAATAAACTCACCTTGACGAAGAATTGATGAAGATTGAAGAAGTAGTGATGAAAAATAAGAGAGAATAGCAGAGAAAAAGAGAGTTGAAAACAGAGAAATTGAGTGAGGAGAGAGAAAATACCGCGTGAAAGAGGAAGGAGGAGAGAGAAAAAACGCAGGAGTTTTGTTTGACCGGGAGTTAATTGTGGTCGTTGGATGTAATGATCCAACAGTTATAATGAGTCCTCACATATAATAAGGTTCTCACATAAGGGATGTGGTCTCATATGATCCCAATTATATATATATATATATATATATATATATATATATATATATATATATATATATATATATATATATACATACATATATATATATATATATATATATACATACATACATATACATATATATATATATATACATACATACATATACATATATATATATACATACATACATATATATATATATATATATATATATATATATATATATATATATATATATATATATATATATATATATATAACTCAAAAATACTCATGTGATACACATAGGACAGAGTACCTAAAACACTCAAGTGATTACTAGAGTCCCTCATAGCCTATTAGACTCACCAAGTTATTCAAACAACACTTATAACAAACAACTCCCTAAAATGCCAGCTCTGATATTTACTTATAGGAATAAGGTTGTAATATTATTAAGTATTGCTAGAAAAAATATTATCAGGGTCATACTTTAGACACGTGCTCTGACAAAGATTACGAAACAAAATATTAACTTTCACCTTTACTAGGGATCGTACAAAAAAAAAAAAAATAAATAAAAAATAAAGTGTGTTTATATTGCTGGAAATTTAATAAGAGTGAGTATTAATGTCTCTTGGTATTTGTAGGTTGTAGGAGATTTCCAAGTGAGTGATTTCGTGTAGTCGTGACGATTTTAAGATCGTATTCAAGGTACGTACGCGTACTCGGTATTTATTAAAGCGTGTAGAAGCATGCTAGGATTTATTTTACTTAGTTACAAGTTAGTATCATGCTAGGAATTGGTTGCAATTGTTGGATTGAATTGGTTTTATGGAATTAGATTGGATTGGATGATTGGTTAGTTTATGAAGCATGATTGATTGGAATGAAATATTGATTGAAATTAATGATGTTGGCATGTTGTATATGGACCACACTTTTATTATTGGCATGATAAAAGACATGTTTAATTAAACTAAATGTTTAATTTGGTTTGAAATATAAAAAGGAATCTTATTATGGTTCATATAATTATTATTGATGCTATAAGCATGTGAATTGAGTTATTAAGTGTCTTAGTACACAGGGATAATATATATATATATATATATATATATATATATATATATATATATATATATATATATATATATATATATATAGTGCGGTGCCTAAGTGCACTTAAGGTGTTTTTACATCGAGGGATAGGATTTGTAGTGCTTTATGCGCTTAAGGTATTTTCCACACCGAGGTAGTTTTAAAAAGGGTTCAACATTAAAGTAATGTGATCACTAATCATTCAAGAATTGAATTGGGATGTTTGATTACTTGAATGATTCATGTTTGTTGAATGTGTTGTGGATTGAGAGTCACCACCAAGTCTAAAATATGTAAACAACGTAAAGGAAAAAAATTACGCACCAAAACTCTTGGAACGTATATATACCTCGAGTATGGACATATGGAGGGAGTTATGGGGTTTTATATTTAACCATAGCTTCTACTGGAAGTACATGACGCTGTATTTTCCTTTTTATATTTTATGCCCATCTAAGCCTACCCGGTTAGCTCTCGGAGTAGTTTACCCCAACTCTTTGGGGTAGGGATTTGGTTGGAAACCCGTTCGATGCGTAATCAAATGAACAAACAATTGAATTGAATATTGTATGAGTTGTTTGTAGTGAGCTTGAAAATAGGTGCAAGAAAGTATGTTGTGTGATGCTAGCTAGGTTATAAGCATGTTAGCGATGTGTTTCATTTACGTTTATGTACTAAGCATTGCAACATTGATGATTGTGTATTTTTTGGCCTTGTCTTTATCCTACGACGACCCATTTCTTATGGCGAGTAGTGGGGACAAAGTAAAGAGAAGTTTTTCAGGTGATGCTGCATATTCATCTCGAGACATGAGTAAAGAGCCAATCTTGTTTAGTTCTTATAAGGATATGATTTGCTTAATTGCTTTAAATATTATTCATTCGTTTGATTGGACTAACGCATGGTTTTAAATTTTGGTTTGGGTTTTGAAAGGGCTTATAATGGTTCCAAGTTGTAGGTTGACTTTGTTTGACTTTGATTTGAAGTTACTTTCGTTTGGTTTGACTATTGAAGTTAGTTTTATTTTAAGTGGTTTTTGAAAAGTTTCTTTCGCTGTGTGTCTTTGATAAATGCCTTAGCTGTTATCACAGTGACGGTAATGTTTTAGATTTTCCTAATTCGTATTTCAAAAAGGTAAAAAACAAGTATTTTAAAGGAAAGGATTTTCTAAGGTATTACAGTAGTCGACAACTCCAACCTCAACATTTCTCTGATTTACACTACTGTTGTGTGTTTCGAAATTATTTTTAAACCTTTTGAATTTCTCACAGTCAGCCAATGTTAACTTAACGCCAGTTAACGTCTTCTATCCGTCCTCATTGTAAATTACAATCAAGTTCCCAATAAAATCTATGAAATTTCTAAAGTGCCATGTTGACTCTCATGTTGAGTAACTTGTTTCCCTAGATTTCTCCCTGTTTTAAGAGGCTGCCTTAGTTAATCTCCATTATAAAGATAAACAAGATTCGTTTATCACCGGAGCAAGTAGCAATTTTGGGATGGTTTATACCTGTGCACAAATTTTTATGTGGCTGGCCACACAGTGTGGTCGGGGTTACTTATTCAGGGGTTACTCGAATACTCGGTCGGTCAGGGATTACTCGATCGGTTAGGGGTTATTCTCACACAAAAACACGCTAATCGACTGAGTAACCCTAGAACAAGTAACCTTTGACCGACTGAGTAACCTCTAAATACGTAACCCTTGAATAAGTAATTCTAGCAAAAACGCGTTAACTGACTGAGTAACCCAAGAATAAGTAATCCCTAATTAAATAGGTAATCTCGGATACCCGTGATAAACACAAGAGAAATGGAGATAAATTTGTATTTTCTTCTATTTTGATACTTACGGATAGTTAAAAGCATTCAACACAAAACAGAATATTCCATATTTTTCTATTGAAATTAAACGAACTTTAGGAGATCAAATATAGAGTAATATTTTTCTTATTATCATCGGAGAATTCTCGGACGATGTCCACTATTCCCGACGGCGGCAGCAGCGGCGGCGGGCAGAACTCACCGTGGCCCGACCTTCCCGTCGACATTCTATCATCGATCGCCGATCGCCTCGACCCAAAAATCGGCACTCTTCGACTTCGCTCTCTTTGCAGGTCATGGCATTCTTCCCTTTCTCCTCTTCCTTCCTCCATTACTTTCCCTCTCAAGCTCCCTTTTCCACTCTCCAATGGCGTCTCAACCTCTCCTTCTCACCTCTCTCTCTCTAAACGAACCATTTATCTCCTCTCTCCTCCTGAAAACCTCTCCAATGGTGGCTTCCTCATCAAGGTTGAGGAGAGAGAAGGTAAACGTAATGCCTTCTCTCTTTTTGACCCTCTTTTGTCTAATGCCAAATTCCCTCAACCGAAATTGAGTTTGAATCTTCTTGATTTTAGGGTTTCTGTTGTTTTTGAATCGTATGTTGTTAATTCTGCTTTCGGAGGAGTTTTGCAGAATCCTTTTAAGAAGGCTGTTGTTGCGAAGAATTTCGCTGGAAATGGTGATTTTATTGTTCTGGGTTTGAAATTAAGTGGGGAATTGTTGATTTGGAGAATTGGGGATGAACAGTGGACTGAAATTGGAGTTAATGGGCGTTCTTTTGATGATATTATTAGTTATAATGGAAAATTTTATGCTACTGCTGATAAAAAAGGAAGGCTTGTGATGATTGATTCTAGGTTGAAACCCTTTGATTTGGTGCCAAAATTGATGTTTGGTGAAGGTAAATGTACATATTTGGTAGAGTGTGATGGGAATTTGTATGTAGTTGATCGAGTTGGCGTTGATGACAGTCGAGACTTTAAGCTTGGAGTGTTTAAATTGGATGATAAGGGACGTTTTTGGGATTATGAGTTGGACTTGAATGATTGTGTGTTCTTTGTGGGTGATGATGCAAATTTTTCATTGTCTAGAAATGATTATCATGGTGACATAGGAAATGTCATCTACTTTAAGGGTGTCACTCTTGAAGATGATGGTGATAGAATTGGTGGAATTGATGAATTCACTAAAGTTTTCGAGATGAAAACAAACTCAAGTAGTTACTTGGTAGAATCTGAGAGTTATGCCAAGCTTTATTGGCCGCCTTCTAGTTGGTTCAGTCTGGCTGTAGCTCTTAATCTTCGCTGATTTAAGGTATGTCATATCACATCAACTTGCATTTACCTTTGTTGTTGGCTTTGCTGATTCTTATGCTTTGCAATTGACGCTTGTTTGAGTTTATTCATGACTAATTTTGTTTTCTAAATTGTTGTTATGTAATGTCTGTTTGTGCGTCGTGACTATACTTCAACGGAAAAGTTGCTTATATATGTTTATTTGATAGGTTGTAGAGAACTGGTACTTGATTGTTTTGGCCTAATACATGTTACAGAGTGTGCATAACAAAGTCCCACCCAGGCGGCTAGGCCTAAATATTTTGAGGTGGCTCTTTACCAATTTTTTCTCTTGTAGTGTATGTAGTCTTGTGAGTCCCAGTGGCCAGCAGTACCATAACTATACCTCCTAGATTGGATGGGATATCACTCAATAAGGATTAGGTTTGTATAATGCTCCGTTCTGATGATGATGATGAATTAATGACTATGAATACGATAGCCTCACAGATAATTTTAGTCATTTTTATTTCTAGCCTGTGCTTGTTTAAGATGGGGAACCACTCTCTTAGATGTACTCATCTCATGCTCATCCTAAAAATAATGGCAAATTGCATTTCCTGCATTGAATTTAGGGTGCTTAGATTATGCAATATCTTTATCATTGGTACATGAAAAATTCCTTTTATTGTAAGTTTACGTCCACAAAGTACTTCAAAGTCGGAAACTCAAACACAAAAATGTGGCTCTAGGAACGTGACATGTGTAGAGAGGAGGCAGTAAAGAAATCTCCTCCTGGGAAGGCTTTGGGGAACCTCATCCCTTTCTAGCTCTCTCTACTATTTTCGCCACTTGAACAGTTGAACTCGGATTTCCAAAATCATGTGTTCACTCAAACTGTAAGAAAAAACTTTGAAATTAAATACTCTGGTTGTGTGGATAGTGCTTGACACAAGTCCAAGTTTAGTCTTGTTGACTTTGTAACCCCTATTTAATGCTGTAGGTTACACATAGCCTTTCATGGAGAGGAAACCACGTAACAAACCTTGCTTGAAGCTTCTGGTTTTGTGCAAAGACTGCTTGTGTTTTTTTATTTATTTATTTATTTATATTTAATAATTTTTTATTTTTTTAATGAGACTGCTTATTTAGAATGGGACCTAGGAAGAGATAAACAGTCCTAATAGAGATAGACACTGTGTTTCCTTATTCATGTTGGAGGCATTAATACACATTAGTGTAAGACCTGTACTTTCCACTAATTCTAGTTCGGGGAAAATAAGTTCATTTAAGTACAAATAAGGTCATTTAAGTACAAATAAGTTCCGATAAGCGTCAATAAAGGTTGCCTAAAGTTTCATTTAAACTAAAATAAGTTATAATAAGATCTCATAAGTTTAGTTAAGTTTAAATAAGTTCAGAATTGTAAAGGGTCAATAATGGTTATCTGCTTGCCAAATCTTCCTAATAGCCCAAGCTGCCTGTGGTGGCCAATCTATGTAGTACAAATAGGCTTTTATTATTAAACCAGTCTTTTTTTTTTTTGAATACCCAAAGCCATTTAAAGTGTGGTTTTGTTCCATAATGGCAGCTTCAATGTTTTTTTTTTTTTTTTTTTTTTTTTTTTTTACTAAATTTTTTCCTTGCAAGAACTCTTATCAAATTTTCTATGGTGTTTAGACCATCAATGTCCCTGCAGCACTCCTGAAAAATCTTTAAAACTTGGCTAGTTATAAATAATATTTGTGGCCTACAGGTTTACCATCCAATGAGCACCCTTTAGCAGCTGTAACTGGTAACAGTAGTAAATTTTCTCTTAACTTCACAATTTCAGCTTATGCTCCTGGCAACTGTAATGTCAACAATAGGGCATGCATTGTGAAACTAGCAACATTTGAGGAAAGCCTCAAGTGCTTATAGATACTTAAATGGGTGCTGCCCTGTTTGAAATCTGAAGCTAAGAAAAATCTACAATGTTTTCCTTTTATTCCTACTGATCTGAATCTCAGCTAAGTAAGAAGGCTCTTACCATTTGATTTAATTTGAGAAGCATACAAAAAACAAAATTGTACAGTATCTGTATGACAATAAATTAGATACAATAGCAGCTCTAGCAGCAGATCATTGGTAAATCTTTAGAAAGGGGGTGATACAATGTTTCTTGGATAAAGGGTATGGGAATGAAGATGAAAATTTGGGAATTGTAGAGACTATAATGTTTAAACAATTAGGAAATGGGAATGCAAACACTAAAGCAATAAGTTATTTCTTTTGCGTAAAAATGTTGGCCTTTTTGTCTATAGCTACTAGCTCACAGTAATATGCATAAAGGAGGTATTAGAGCGGAAAAGACATTTTGATCCTGGAGAAGAAGTTCTTTTTTATTTTATTTTATATTTTTTATTATTTTTTGTTTTTAGTTTGGACGAAAAGGATTTGACCATGAGTGAGTGTTTTAAATATCTTGGGTCGATCATCTAGAAGAATGGTGACATTGATTAAGACGTGGCCCACAGGATTAAGTCGGGGTGGCTTAAATGGACGACAACCACGGGTGTGTTATGTAACCGAACCATTCCTTTACAGTTGAAGGGGAAATTCTATAGGACTGCCATAAGACCAGTGTTGGTTTATGGTACAGAATGTTGGGTTTTAAAGGAGCACATTAAAAAGATAGAGGTTACGGAAATGCGCATGTTAAGATGGATGTATGGAAACAATAAAGTTATTCTCACGAAAGTGGGTGTTGCAGACATTGCAAACAAACTAATGGTCTGTTTGGATTTAAGGATTTCATTTGGAATCTTGGAATTGGGTTAAATAGGCTGTTTGGATAACTCAAGAATTTGGAATTGTATTTAGCCCAAATCCAAGCCCTTACAAACATAACTGTAGCTTTAAAAATTTGAAATTCTAATACAATTGGCGTAATTTCAAATTCTTGTTTCTCTCACCACCACTACCCTCATCTATCACAGCACTCTTCTACCACGATTCTCCCTTCTCCACCATGGCACCGTTGCTTAAATACTTCAACCACTGTCGCTTAAACGCCATTGCAATGCCGCATAAGCCACTTTCACCGTCACAACCATTGCAACTCCGCCGCCGCCGTCGACCCCCCAAAATAAATCATTATTTGAACAATTTTGACACAAATTTTGTTGTTTACAAGATTGTTTTGTTCGATTGAAGCAAGATTCAAGTTTATAAAGGTTTAATTTCATCTAAATTAAGCTACTTCTTCATTAATTTGGAAGGTAAATTCATGATTTTCATTCTAATAATCAAATTGGGGAAAAAATTAGGGTTTATAGTCTTAAGTAGAAGCTTTGATTTTGGATTCACATTAAACAATCAAACTGCAATTTTAATAATAAACCAGAGAACACTAAATAAAATAGCGTAAAATTAATTTTTCTTTTTGGAAGAAATTGACGCTAAAAAAATGTTCCAAAACTTTAAATTGATAGTCAGTATAATTATAAATTAGTCAATTTTGTTTGTTAATTTTTCTTTTCTTTTCTTTTCTTTTTTTTTTTCAATTTTGTTTGTTCCTTCAATTAAAAATTATCCACTGATTATAAATTTTCTTTTTCAATGTTTAATTACTTTGTAGAAAATCTATTCTTCTTCATACATCAGATGGAATTTGAAATCCAGGAATTGAAATTCTACTATTTCCCAAACAAATATTTTGGAATTGAATTCTAAGAATTCAAATTCTGAAATTGAAATCATTCATTTGAAATGAATTGAGTATATCCAAACACAACCTAAAGGAAATTCACCTTTGTTGGTTCGGTAAGACGGAGACACCAGGGTACACCGGTACGAAGAGTAGAAGAGTGGAATCATAGAGAGCTAAAACGAGGTAGAGGGAGAATGAAAATGACTTGGTTGGAAGGAGTTAGGAAGGATATGAAGCGAATGGATTTGCATGAGAGTGAGGTTTTATATCGTAGGGGATGGAGGAGGAAGATTTTTGTGGATGACTATACGGAATAATCACTTTTGGTTCATCTAGTCAATTCCACTCATGGGATTTAGGCTTTGATTGATTGATTTAGTATGGGGGTTCGTGTGTTCATTTAGTTTCTAAGTTTCCTAATTTGAGTGAAAGGGAATGCGACTGTAATTGTCTCACCCCTTTAGCAATGCAATATCACTAGCAAATACCCGTGAAATAAGGAATAATAAGGAATGAATAAGTCTGTGATTGATAAAGCTTAAAGCTTCAATATGATTACAGTTGTGAGAACGTTCAAGAGGTTCTCTCTCTCTCTGAAACTAACCAACACTCTTCACACTCCTCCCTACTCAGTATCTCTCCTTTTTAATTTCCCCATGTCCTCAGGTGACGCCAACTAACTTGAATTCCCCCTTTGGTAAGTTATTTATAATGGGTGGCTTGTCCTGATTCATCCTACGACTTGTAGAGATCCTGTGCAGTAGGGGTTGTTAATGAACTCCATAGCATGCTCTAAACTTGGTTTTTCTCTACAAGAATCTTTATCTTTACCAAAGATTTGAATATTAAACCCACTTATGTAAAGTGCAGGCATGTGGTGGCTTGTGAACCAGTACGAGTCCATCCTGCCAGGCATGTTGTGTGTCATGTGCTTGGTTAGCCAAGCCAGTATGGGACGTCCCGTGAGAGGGTGATATATCATGTTCTGACCCTGCACAAACGGTTCAGCACAATCCACTGCCTATTTGTTATATCAGTTTATATAGGAAAATTTTAACCATTGAAGAAATAGAACATGGATTTTTGCAATAAATACAACAACAACAAAGCCTTAGTCCCAAAATGACTTGGGGTCGGCTAACATGAATCGTCATAAGAAATCGTATAATATAAAGAAAAATACATAACAAAATCATCATTTAAAAGAGTTTGGAAAAAGGTGAGTAAAGTGGGTAAACGAAAGAGCATTTAAGGAAAAAAAATCTAGGGAGTTTTAAAGGGAACCAAAAATAAAATTCAAGAAAGTTTAAAAGAGTGGTTAAAACGTTGAAGTAGAAAACATAAAGGTTTGAGAAAACTTTAGTAAAGGAAAACAATACAGTTCATAAAACATTGGTGGGCTAATAAATTTAGAAAGTATATATAATCACGACACGTCGTTGACGTGAATTTTCTCCCTCCACACTGACACTGGCCTATCCAACACCATATTTTCCTCAATCCCCAAAGCACTCAACTTCCATGCTTTTGTAGCTCAACTATCATGAATTCATGATAACAGTTTCATAGCATACTTATATGTTATTTACTAGCTCTTAATTAATATGCTTCTTTGGATGATTCACATGTTGCATTTTACTGGATTATGTTGATAATATGGAATCAAATATTTTTATTCCTAATTTTTTTCATCAACTAGATTGTATTGTCCTTCTATTAACCATAATTTTGATCATAGGCTTTGAGTGAGTATAGTTTGAGTTTCAATATAGAAAACTCATTGTGCAACAATTGCATGCAGGTGCGCACATTGTCTTCTTCTGGAGAAACATCCTGATTTCTTGCAATTTCTGTGGAATGCTGTGCTGTTGGTGTGAGCCTCCGAGGTCTGGTGTCAAGCTATTTCTTTCTTAGTTTAAATAAAGTTGCTCTGTTTATTATGAAGAGTGGACTTATTGAGGAATTAACTTCTATTTCAAGGATGTATAGTATGGAAAACCGTTGTGGGCTAACTTTGACAACCTACTTCATCCTCTTGTAAGCAAATTGGAGTACATGCCCTGATGCCCCCTTCATTCACTCAGGAGGAACAATTTAATCCAACTCTTGACCAAGATTTAATTCACATTTACAACAACCTTCATCTTTTGTCAAAGGCTTTCGAACAATATCCAAAGATGTGGGATGTCGGCAGAGATTCATTAATTCTAGGAAAAGTACATGATTTTTAGAATTTTCGGAACTCTCACTTGATAAGCTGGAGTTGGAAAGCGAGTTGCTTTTTAAATATTGATGTTCTTCATTTGATATGTTTATGTCTAATACATTAAAATAAGCTCCCTATTATTTTGCAGCAATGACTTACATATGGATTTGCAATTTTTTTTATTATTATTATTTTTTTTCTCCGGACGATTCCATACCATAGCCTTTGGTAATGGTTTATCGTCTAACTGGGTATCTACATAGTCAACGTAATTAGCTGCCCTCGGGGTTTGTCTAAGGATAAATACTCTGATGCTAAAATAAGTGAACGGGATGATATGAGTATAAAAGGTGGTTTAGGAGTGTTTAGGTTAAAATCGTACCTTAAAAGTGAAATATGCTTGGGTATTTATAGAAATTTCAAGCTGGTGTCACGTGTCGGTCCAAGTAACTGCCTTGTCAAGTGGACTGAGGGTGTCCACATGGTCGGAATCAGGTCTCTAGTCTCTACGTGCCTAGTGAAATAGGCCGATATGGGTATAGACTCTATAAAGCTAGTATTGGAAATGCCCTAAATGTCAAGATCTAACCTAGATTATTAGACCCATATCGGTGTCGGTATCATCCCGTATAACTTGGTGCGAATTTTTTTTTTGTTTGATACATAATTTCTACCACTACTCTGTGGATGATTTGAACTCCTGACCTAGTGCGCGGTTTGATGATAAGTTTCTCCTTGTATAAGCAGTATAACTGTGAGGAAAGGTCCTATCTAACCATAGTGTTGATTTTTAGACTGTTTATAACTCAAATGTATGGAGATTATGCTCTGTTTTTGCTAAACATCTGCACTTCTGACACAAATGGTAAACTTCTCCAAATTTTAGAAGAACAGTAGGATGATATTGGTCTCAATCCAAGTGGTATTATTTATAATTGGATTTTATTGAGGAGGCATCATGACCTCAATGTCTTGATAATTATCCCACCTTAATATTGTGTTAGGTAACGATAATGAAAGCATTTAGTTTGTTGGTTGTTCGAAGCTTTCACCTTGATTTCTGTCCATTGTTGTCACATTCAGTTTTTCACTTCAACTGTTTCGTAATAATTCGCTGCAATAAACTTAACCAGTACGATTATATCTTAATGGCTACGGAAAAAATAGATATGTCTCTTTGAATTATATGTACAGAAATAGATCCAAACACTAAGTATTTAAATGAGCTACAAGGACAATACAACTCACAAACGGAGATAAGGGATTTAAACCTGCCGCAATCTACAGGCCTTCACATTCACGCTTGACCTCAAGAGTTAAGACTACATCTTTAACCACTAAAGTAAAGCCAAAATGTATTGCTGAAATTAATTTTATACAAATTGTAATAGGGCCCTGGGCCCCTGGCTAGTTGGATCCCAATGCAGCTCTGCAACTAAATATCAACCCTTTAGCAGACTAGCAGTTTAGCATATAACTTTGGTAAATGCGAAACGACTAATACGAGTAGATACTTAAAACAACTGTATAATCCATTCATCCCCCTCCTCATACAGTCCTACCCACATCCATATAAAATTTGGGAAAATTCAAGTTTATCTCTGTGATAAACTTGAAAATATATCTCCTCTCACAATATATTGTTTTATGTTTATTTTCAAAATAATAAAAGTGAAATAATAAAGTGGCACATAAATCAATGCGAAAAATTGTTAGGGGAGATTAACTTGAAATGTTAATCTCAGAGATTAACTGGGGCTCCCTCATAAAATTTATACTACTTTCGTTTTAAATTATTTGTAACTGTTAGATATTTTTTTACTCACACTTCATATCAAACCGTTACAAATAATTTAAAACGGAGAAAGTATACCAATCATATATTTATGGTTTATACACTATTATGGTGGATATTTATCCAATAGCCATACCAGTCTTAGTGGGTTTATGTCTAAATCCACGTCCGCTTCACCACCCAAGTGGTGGAATTTGTTATATACACCCAGGTGCACCGTTCACCCAAGGTTAGTTTTTGGTCTTTATTTGATGATTAAATGAAAAACGATCATCAAAATGAGAACAAAATACTCATTGATATACGGTGCACCTGGGTGTATATAATTATCTCTCCCCAAGTGGATGTCTACTACCTAGCTATTACTCAGTTTCTCACAAGTCACATATATTCATCTATTATCCGCTTATTATCCACCTACATCCACTTGAAACTATTTACTTTATAAAAATGCATATATAAGAACTTCCTATATTCTCAAATTTTTGTCCATATATATATATATATATATATATATATATATATATATATATATATATATATATATATTTATTTATTTATTTATTTATTGTTAATTACTTGACTCGAACTCGATTTAACATGCATAGATGAGGAAAGATCATAGTGTATGAGGAAAATAATGTGTATGGGAAAACATATAGAAGGAAAGCATGTAGGGAGGTATATATATATATATATATATATATATATATATATATATAGGGAGTGGATCATGTGAAAACAAGTCTAAGGCTGAAAACTAAAAACAAGTAATCTAGACCATTGAATTCTAATCTGACGGAGGAGATTATATCCGTGTGATAGTTATTCTTGACCGTGGGATTTGTTCCTTGATTTCTGAAAATCCATCCACTCCTCTACTTTTTACTCTATTTTTCTTTCTCTTCCATCTTACGTTCACCATCTTCTTCATTCTCTCTGCTTCCCAATTCAATATCAATGTTAAACTTCATCAAATTATAGAGGAATTTGGTTCAATCTTCGTCAATAGCTTCAAAAAGTGAGTTTTCGTTTATGATATTTGTTTAATTTGGTATTATATACGTGTTTTTGGAAATACCAAATTGATTTTTCGATTTGATTTTTTTGGGATTTAGTAATTCGTGTATTAGACATACACTCCCTCACTTCTTTCTCCTTCACGCAACTTCTCTCTCTAAAATTGTTCATCAATTTTGTGCGATTTCTTGTGCGATTTTGCGTGTTTTGTTCATCAATTTTGTTCGATTTCCAGTGCGATTTTGCGACTTTTGCTCATCAATTTTTTCGACTTTTTTTCATCAATTTTGTTCGATTTTGTTTGATTTTGCGATTTTCTGTTCCATTTTGTTCGATTTTGTTCAATTTTGTTCGATTTCCCGTTCAATTTAGGGTTTTTGCTTTTTTTTGTTTGATTAATTTGCGATTTTGCTATTTTTTTTATTTATGATGGTGGGGGTTACAATCGGTGTTTGTGAGGGTGGGTTTATCACCGAAGTTTGGTTCGGGGGTAGGGGTGAACGAAGAAGATGAGATCGGTGAAGAGCTGTGATTGACTTCCGTAATTGGTCGTCGGAGAGTGGGATTGGGTTGAATCGCCTTCACTGATTGAGCGAGATTTCCAACACCAGGTTTGGTTGCACCCATTGGAGATACTGCCCCACCTCCAAAAACAAAGGTGTGGGATCAATGGAAGATCGTGGGAGCCGCAAAGCCAGGAAAAATCTTCCATCTGAGCTCAAGATGTCACGGAATGGTTATGCTGGAAGCCAAAGCGATGAGGACAAGGGTACTGAGCAAGATAAGGAAACGCCAACTTCAGTTTAGGGGTCACAACCCATATTTGTCTAGTATTGGTGTACACTATATCCAAATTGTATTACAGTAGTACTGATTTGAGATATATGATGAAACTTTGCAATTTTGGAAGGAAATTGATCTTATTTTGTTGTAGTGTAGCTGTTCCATTGCTATAAGTCCACTGCTATTAGCAAAAATATGTTAGTGTAAGTTCTTTTTAGATTTTAATATGGAGGATTTGGCAAGATAGAAATGTGAAAATTTCTAGGAGAAAGAAACTCCAGTTGTTGTCTTAAAGGCTCGTGTGCTACGGTGGACAGAGGAGTGAGAAAAGCTGAAGAACCCTCCCCAACATATAGGTACTGCCCCCCGTACCAGGCCAAGGCGTTGGATTCCTCCTCCAAATGGGGTTATCAAAATTGATATAGTTACCTTATTTTTGTATATAGTAACATTTTTGTAAATGTGGTCGAAATTGATATAGTTACCTTATTTTGTATATAGTGACCTTTATGTAAATATGGTCAAAATTGATATAATTACCCTATTTTTGTATATAGTGACTTCTATGAATAGGATCAAAATTGGTATAGTTACCCTATTTTTGTATATAGTGACAAATGTTGTAAAAATTGATATAGTTACCCTATTTTTGTATACAGTTACGTTATTTTTATATATAGTGACTCTACATTATTTTATTTATTTTTAAACCGTTAGATCTTGTTAGTAACAATGGATGGTTGAGATTTTCTGTTTTTAGTTTTCACCATAAGCCCTGTTTTTAGCGGAACCTCCCCGTATATATATATATATATATATATATATAGGGGTGGGATCACGTGAGAACCAAGGCTTATATGAGAACCCTTTTAAAATAAGAACCAATCTTACACCATCTATTTTGAGATTATTGATGGCTGAGATTAATGATCACTTTCCCATGCATTTTCTTGGGAACACGCATTTCAGTCATTGGTACATGCTTTTTTAATTTTCTTGGGAACACGCATTTCAGTCATTAGTACATTTCACACATATGGTATGGAACAATGTATAATATTTATGGGACAATAGTTCATATTTCTGGAACAATATAAATAATATTCGAATGAAATATTATATAAAAACATCAATGATTTTTATGTATAAAACAATGTCATTAGTATATGAAACAATACATATATTTTATGGAACATAAGTAGTATAAAATGAAACATAAGGTATGTTTTTTGAAGCATCAATAAGGTATAAGAAATCACAGTAAACCTAGTTCATATAGAGCTCAACTATATGAAACATGCAGTAATATATATGAAACATTAATATTATAAATTGAAACACTTGATATATTTTACGAAACATCATTAATGACGTACACTTCAACTACATTTTAACGTAACGTTCGAATTTATGTGAACCTTGCATTTTACTGAACAATCTATTGGTTTTCCAATGCAAATTAACATGTTTCAATGCAATAAATAATAAAAAACATATAATAATGACAGCTTTTGACAGATTTTGTGTCCCAATACAAAAAACAATATCATTAGTATATGAAACAACACATATATT